GGACACAGAAAAACACAGAAAAATGACACCGATGACGGCGGAACAAGTCGAGAGAGGAGAGAGAGAGGTTATGAAGTACGCAACAGAGGGAATCCACTACGACAACGACGAGGAGCTGTTTTGTTATGACAAAGAGCGCCAACGTACTTCGACACAAGGGTTGACGTTCAGTGGTCAGTGGCAGCGAATAGAGACAGGTCAATGAGAGCACAACAGTTGTTGTTGCGCTTATATCAAAATGCATACGTGCATAACGACCACACCATGGCATCTTGCTCTGCGAACACCCTTCACCAAGTCATGGATTGGATGTGCAACAACCATGACATCAACATGACCAAAAGAAATGGAGGTGGTTCATACGACACATCAGCGTACAAGAAGTTTGTGAGATTTTGGGCGAGAGAAAGTGAAATGTTGAAGACAGGGGGTGGTGAGGAATTGAAGTCGAATGCAGCGGAGATATTGGCACTGAGCAGGATGAACGAGGTCCCTCAAAGAGATCCTATTGACTACCATGAACTGGCAACAATGGTGGTGGACGGTGTCGAGTATGTGCTACTAGACCAGATTGTTGACTTTATGAAGAGTGGATGCGAGGACAAAAATCTCATTCACGAGGCATTGCATGAGGTGACGGAGGAGGCAATAGCAGCAACGGAGGTTGTCGATGTTGACTGCGTAAAGGATCGCACACTCGACCTTGTATCGGGGACTCCTGTGTCACGGTGGAACATATTCGAAGCTATAGAGGAGCTGACCGCCGCATCGACGGACGTGGACAGGAGGAGTAAGAGAAAGTGCGGATGGCAAATGCTTGTTGCAGAACACGACACCGCAAGGACACACACAACAGACACGACAGTGCAGGACAGAGGTGGCACAGTATCTCTGGCGGATGTCAGGACCGTGTTGAAGAATCCTACTGCAAATGCAGCGACTGTCCATGGCGGACTCAGAGAGTGGAGATTGGCACCCAGACATCCTTCACGTGACTTCAATGAAGGAGTCGAACAATCATCACAGAAGGGAGATGATGTGGTGGTTCCTTGTGACGAGAAGGGCGATGCACAAACAGGACCGCAACAAGAGAACCCGACATCATCGGAGTCGGGAGTGAGTGGCAGTGATACTAGGAGCGACGAGGTGGGCAAGGAATACGATCCTTATTGCGACGTAAAGCGAGGTGGTGGTCAGGGGTCGAAAGGGTGGTGTCATGCAATTTTGAGGTTGGCGCGTGTTTTCTCGAAACCGCACCCGTTGATACGTGTTATGGACAAGGTGGCAACACCGGACGGGCGTCTACACTTCGCAGCAATTAAGACAATTATGTCGTGCACGAAAATGGCAAACGTTGGGCTAAGACAACAAAATCATGGTTTGTTCTCATACACAAGGAGACCATTCTGACGACATCGCTGTCATGGGGTGTGAACCTCAATTGCGTCATACATGGAGCAGTTGCCACTGCATGAGGCGGGACCGTGCACCCCTCACTGTCAACAGCGGCGGCAATTATACATGCACAACTTACACTCTGTCGAATTGGCACGAAAGACAACAATATCGATGTTGCTATGGACATAGGCCAAACATCAGAGGAACAATCGAGACGGAGAAAATTATAGGGCTCTCTCTCTCTCTCTCTCTCTCTCTCTCTCTCTCTCTCTCACACACACACACACACACACACACACACACACACACACACACACACACGAACACACACACACACAGAGATTAGATATTCTTATTACCGTATCACATGTGCATTGCTTGTGACGATGTGGTTGGGAAGTTGGGGCCGTGTATGAAGACGTTGTTGCCGTATCACGACATAAGTGGCACCCACTTCCCAACCGTGTTGAAAAGCGGGATTTTGTTTACGCTGCAGTATTAATATTGCATGGTGTTTATGCATACCTCCCTTCCACGTTGTTGTCGTGTACCGTCGTAAGTGACAAGCCTTCAGAAATCATCTCTCTCTCTCTCTCTCTCTCTCTCTCTCTCTCTCTCTCTCTCTCTCTCTCTCTCTCTCTCTCTCACACACACACACACACACACACACA